CCCAAGCTTGCCGACTACCTGCTCCAGCCCAGAGCACACTGGGCTCTCACATGCTTGACGACTCTTTGGATTGTTCTGGGGGCTTTTTGACAGGAGCTGAAGAGGGAGGGAGGCTGCCTGGATATAGCAGGGGGTAGTGGGTAGAGCCATGGGCTCATGCTGGTGTCAGTGTGGCCCGACCAGCAGCCAGGGCTGAGCTGGAGGTGGGGGCTGCCTCTGGGAGGGGTCTCTTCCAGCATGAGCAAGTCCAGGTCCAGGCTGTCCATACCCAGTGGCACCATAGGAATGACCAGCCAGCTCTGCAGACTGAGGGTAGGCGGAGGGTTCTTCTCTCCTTTTAAGTCCCTGCTCACTCAGGGTCTGAACAATAGGGTCCTGGGGTGGTGGGGGGCTTGAGAACCAGGGAACGATTCACTCCCAGCATGTCCGCCTGTAGCACAGTAGGGTCAGAGGGCCCTGCCCAGATATTTCCTTCCCATTTCCACCCTCTCCAGGGCAGAACGAGCAGGACAGAGTGGGGTGGGGCAGGCTTCCTCCTGCTCAGGATGGGGACTGCCAGGAAGGGCACCCCCCTCCTCCCCGTGCTCAGCTCATCCAGCAAAGACCCACATGAACCTTCCCTAGGACCCTTCCAGGCACGAGGGCCTGGTTCCCTCAGACAGCCTCTCCTCCTCAAGAACAATGGGACTCAAGTTAGCAGCAAGAAACTGGGATCCCTGGTCCACACAAGTACCCCCTGCAGCCCAGGGCAGGCTCAGAGGTGCTCTCCCCAGTCCCCCAGCCCTGACTGCCCCTCTACCCCACTGATGCCAGACCCCCTGGGCTCCTGCAGGGCAGAGCCTCCTTCTCCTCAAGTCCCCCTGCAGTCCACCCACTTCTCAATTAAGGGCCATGTGTGAGAGACAGCTGTCACTCAGAGGGTGCTACCTGCCACCTTAAGGCTTCAGTCCCATACACCCCAAGGAACACAATTTGTCCCCATCCCAACGGGTCAGGCCCCACAGCTAGGGGTCCCAGCACACACCGTGGCCTCCCCTTCTCTGTTCTGCCACAGCAGCTCTGTGAGTCCCACCCATGGCCCCTATGTTCCTCCTCTAAGCCTCTTACTGGCCTTACGTCCAACCTGGGTGCCCCAGGACTATAAGCCCCCAAGTGCATGCCACGTCCATGCTTCTTCAGGGCACTCCTGCCCAGTGGGAGCTGTGTAGCCTAAACATCATAGGACTCAAACCTCTGGCCCAGGGACCTGCTTTCCCACATCCTCTGCTCCAGTGGTTTCAGGACCCCTTGCTGCTGGGCCTGTACACACTGAAGGGCCCCAGCTGGTGTGGGCACTGGCCAGCCTCTCCTAGCCTCTCCTTCCTGCCAGCAGCCCAGGGTTCTATCCACCTGCCCTGCTGGGGTTAGATCCCAGGTCCCCAAGTTGTCAGGACAAAGTTCAGTCCTAACAGCGTCCTCAGAGTCTTCCTAACCCATTTGTGCCCACCTCACAGATGGCCTCACTGGACGATGCTGGACTCACTTTTTTCTTTGTAATCACTCTTGTAAGTGTGTACACAACATAATACATACAGCCTCCATACACAATTTCATGTGTGCACACATGTGCTGTCACCCACTCTTAACTCTCAGATTTTCATGCACTCAGGTACATGCTCACACACATATTCACACTCACACTACCTCAGACCCTGAGCCAATTCACCCTCAACCCCACCACAAGCTCTTCTCAGAGAAGCCCTGGAAGGTGAAGTGCTCCTGCTGCCACTCCCAAGTGTCCGCCCCCTCTCAGGGTTCCCTTCACGTATAGCCGCAGTTGAACTGATCAGAGCCCAGGGAGTCCACTGTCCAGGTCACACTGTACCTGCTCAACAGGTGCTCAGAGAATGTTAGAGGACCATGTGGATGCTGAGTAAGCTGGGAGGTGGCCCAGGAACTCAGGATGGAGGTGTGCAAAGGTGCCGATTCCCCCCAGAGCTGCCCAAGATGCAGGTGGCTAGGAATAGTAACAGTTGTCAGCTGCAGCCCTAGTGGCATCAGGACCTGGTGCTCCAGGCTGGTGTCCCCTCACCCTCTTGAGCCTGCACCACCTCCTCCTCTTGGCTGCCCTCTCCTCCCTGGGGGTGGGTACAGACATGTGGGCATCCCTTTAGGGCTGTGTGTGGAGGGGTCCCATGTGCTGCCCTTCCTCACCCACTGCCTAGAACTCCCTCTGCAGGAGCCCCAAGGACGTACAGAGCTACTTGGCCTAAAACAGGAAGTAAGGGGAAGCAAAGGCTGATTCTCTCTTAGAGAGAGAGGAGTGACTCAGTCATCATTGTTCAGTCTGAACAGTCCCTTCGGGCCAGACCCTGGGTTGTTGACAGAGGCCAAGAGTTGAGTTGCCCTTGCAGAAATGGAGCCCCCGAGTGTAGGTGTGGGCAAGAGGAGTGAAGACATGAAGCTGCCCTGTCCCCGGTAATCCCCCAGTCACCTGTGCCCTCTCTGCCCTCTGCCTGGATGCATGCAGGGTACACCATCCACTGATACACACATTCCATCTTTGCTTCCCTTGTCCCTCCTTAATTCTGCTGAATCCACCTGCCCCTACCTTCAGCCAAGTGGGAGTTCCCATGTCTGCCTTTAACCAAACCTTGAATGGAAGAGCATCATACAATCTGGGCTGATGCAGGCCTGCCCTTGTTCAGCAGCCCCAGATTACTCCTGTGTTCCTGGTGGGACAGAAGGGCCCTCCTGGACTGACATAGCCCCAGCTCTGTCACTGACCACCCCATCCTATTACTGACAGCCTGTCAACAGACCCACCCCAACCACTCTATGTAAAATTCCCACTCAGGTGGTTTATCCCAATGTCTGCAGGATACTGGGATGAGCTCCCTGCTGAGTTCCTGGGATCTTGGCAAGTGCTCTTAGTAGTTGTTAAAAGAATGAACTGTCTACAGCATTGAGGGCCACGGGGCTGGTTCTGAATGGAGAACAAACCTCCTCAGGTGCGGCTGGTCCCTTGGCTTTCCTGATTTCCTACAGAAAGTACTTTGGGACTGTACTGAAGGCTGAGTCGGGCCAGATTAGCAGAAAGTACTTTAAGGCTGTGCTGAGCCTGAGCTGGGCTCCAGATTTGCAGAAGGAGCTTTAAAGTCGAGCTCAGGCTAAGCCAAGTCCCAGATTAGCAGCTGCGTGCAGACTTGTCTGTGTAAGGGGTGGAGTGGGTCTCCCTCACCTCAAGGTCTGCTCTGTGAGATTTGTCCACCGAGGGCAAGGATGACTATGCCCAGTTAGACCCTCAGAGTCCCTTTGAGAGTGGAGGGCTGGGCCTGGTGCCCAGAGCTCTTCCTGTCTCAGCCTCAACAGAGCAAGGCCCCCGCTGCTAGATACACTGCAGCTGGCTGATGTGGACTGACCTGTCCGACTGTGGCTTGAGGGGCCCCAGCTGCTGGGGGACATACTGGTTGTAACCCCTCCCTGCTCACCAGTCAGGCCCTAAGACATCTGCCTCCAGATACCCCCTACCCATGGAATCTCATCATCCCAACAGACTCAACCAGTCTGCCTCTGCCCGTGAGGGATGATGCGTCACCCAGCCCTTGGTTCTAAACCTCAGGGTTGGGCAGAGGGCCCATCAAGCATGGTCACTATTTCCTCCCCAAGGGTCAGTCCTCCTGTTACTCCCCCGCTCTGCAAAAGGGCCCAAGAGGCCAGTAGGAGACCAGGAAGTGGTGGTGCTGCCCAACCCTGGCTGGCAAAGTGAGAGTGGATAGCACCCAGCCCCACAGGACACTGCACACCTGGTCCCTGCCCCAGATGTTGGGGGAGATGACCTACCTTTTCCAGGCCAGGAAATGTGAGTCTCTCTCTCAGCTCTCCCACCTGCCTGCCGGACGCTGGTCCTCACCAAGGATGTGCGGCTGGGCCAGGGCCACCTCTCGCCACCAAGCACAATGGAGGGTGGGGGAGGGGCCTTCAAGGACCTCATTGTTCCCCCTGAGGCCTCAGGGTCTGAATCCCTGATTGTCCCTGGGGGCTGGGCAGCAGCAAGCTGGGCTGGGCCCACAGCAGGTCGAAGGCCAGCCCAGCCTGGGCTCCCAAGAGCTCCCTGGGCCACACCTGCTCTCAGGCTTCTAGGAAGCTGCCCAGAGCCACCCTCTTCTCCACTTCCACCCCTACCTCGCCTCCAGGCCAGCTCTCGTCTGCCTTCCTCAAGGAGCATCTGGGCTTTTGGATGAAACCCAGAACTCCCTGATCTCCTCAGCTATTTCCGTCTGGGCTCCCTGCCTGCTTTCCTCCTCCAGTTGAAGGACCCCAGAAATGTAGCCAGAGCTCAATGGTAAGGCCACAGATAGGAGCGGGGGGAGACAGCTGCTCTTGACTTAGAGGGGGTCTCCTCTGTAAATCCCCTCTCCCAGACTCTGGGCTGGGTCAGCCTCTCCTGGAGCCTTGGACTGTGCTCAGTGGGCTGTGCTCAAGGCTAATGAGAGCATGTGGCACCAAAACACTCCTGGGACACAGGGCCGGACCCCATAGCCTCAGCTCCCCATGATCTGCCTCTTGGTGTTGCCAGGAGTCTTCCTCCCTGGTCAGCAGTGTTTGTCTCTCTGCAAACCTTGGCCTGACTCAGGACTAGCCTGAGGGGTGGCAGCAGGAGCTTTCCTGAGTTGGCCCATGCAGAATGCCCTACTCTCCTCTTGCTGGCTGGCCTGCAGGCCGGTCAGAGTAGACCCTGTTGGTCTTCCTAGAACAACCATCCAGCCGGGGACTGGCTCTCCGGAGAAGACAGGAGCAGCCTTGGCTGACATCCAATGACTGGCAGATGTGGGGGGACAACAGCCAGGGGCCAGCAGACACCTAAGCAGAGGCTACTTGGCAGCCCTCCTTGGAGCTGGCAGGTGATAAGTGGGCTCTCAGGGGCCAGGGATCTAGGCATGGAGGGTTGCAGCCCCAGCTTTGCCACCAGAGACCCTGGCCATTCCTGCCCAAACTAAGACCGGCACTCTACTAGTTGGCACATTGTAATCCAACAGTTATTTTATTAAGATGTCAACCCCGGCTCCAGCGGGAGGGACAGGGATAGGGACAGAGGACAGCCCAAGGAGGGCAGACTGGGGAAGCCCTGGGGTCCTCTGATCACAGAGAGTGAGGAAAGTGGACAACACCTCCTCCAACCCCAGGTCCTGGGTGCCAGCTAAGAGTACAGAGCCACCATGTGGCCAGCCAAGGTAGCAGTTCCATGCACCCCACTAGTGGGCACCCCTCCCTGGTCCTGCATGGGTCCTAGGTGCCCAGGCCAGACCCTGCCTGGAGCCTGGGAAGGATGGGGCATAAGAAGTGCCCCCTGGAATGGAGAACAGACCTCCTCAGGTGTGGCCGGTCCCTTGTGCTTTCTTGATTTCCTGCCAGGAATGGAGAAAGAAGAGGGATCAGGGTAGGCTGGCAAGGCTGGCATCAGGATGAGCTAGGCCTGCCTCCCTTCCCTCGTGGGGAAAAGGGGTCTGTCTGGTCCTTGTGCTCAGTCAGCCATGTGACCTGTCTGAGCCTCAGCTATTCCAAATACAGCAAAGGTCTGAGAGCCTCCAGCCTTTCCCTGGTGACTTGCATAAATTAGCACAAAGACCCAGGACCTGGGCAAGGGCTGCCCCCGGGGATGAGGCGGCTGGGGATGACAGAGTCCGGGATGAGGCAGGTGAGGATGATCCAGGTAGGGATGGGGCAAGGTAGTGACAATATAGTTGGGAATGGGTCCCACCTCAGAGAGTGCCTCCTTCAGTGTTGCGTAGGCCTTGTCCAGGTTGTCGTTGACAATGACCAAGTCAAACAGGCCAGGCTCCTTGCCTAGAGGCAGAGAGCTGGGCTCAGAGACACAGTGAGCCACAGCGGCCCTCACCCCAAGCTCCTATATAGACTGCTAGAACTGACTGCTTGGCTGTGGATGGCCCTTTCCTGTCTAACCATGGGCCTATCCAGGCTGGAAAGGGACAGTCCCTGGGACTCATCCTTGGGCCCACTACCCCCTTCTCTGCAGTATTCTCAGTTGGGGGCTCAGTTCTATTAGAACCAGAGCCCTGGATCCTGAGTACCATAGCTCCCCACCAGGTCCTATCTGGCCTTGCCCAGGACCCTGGTTGGGGGTTTGCAATCTCTTGTCATGAGGCTACCCTCACCCTCTACAAAAGCAGCAGGTCATTCAAATAATATCTTCTTCTAGTGGGCCTAAATCAGATCCAGAGGGAAAGGAAACAGCCATGAGAAAAGATCCATGATGTCTCCTACATGGGTAAGAGGAAGTGTCTAAGACACTCCACAGACTGGGTGACAGTGGAGGATCTGGGGACCCTCACAGGGATTCTGGATTACAGAGTGGTCTGAGAACCTCACAGGATCTCAGTGCTATAGGAATCAGAGCCCCGACTCCCTTCTCTTGTGCACACCCAGTTCAGGCTCTCTCTGTGTCATGGTGTAGGGGCACCAGTGATGGGACACCACAGGGGGCCACAACTGCACTTACTGCTCTCCATGTCAGCACGGGCAGCAGCCAGCCGCTTGGCCAGGCTTTCCTCGGTCTCAGTGTTGCGAAGCCGCAGCCGCTGCTCCTGAAAGGCAGGTCTGCCAGGTCAGCAGCCTCCTAGGCACAGACCGCCCCCCAGTCCCTGGCACCCACCAGTACATCCAGTGAGGGTGGTTGAACTGAGATATAGATGGGCTGCAAGTCAGTTTTCTTGATGTTCCGCACGCCCTGCAGGTCCACGTCCAGCACGCAGATGCGGTTCATGGCCTGCACGGCCCGCACAGCTGCCTTGCTGGAGGGCCCAGGGGAATAGAGGACAGAGTCAGACTTCAAGTGCGGATCTTGGGTGTGAGCTCCATCAAGCTGGGGGTCCTCAGGAGCACTTGGGGTATATTGCATGACTTTGCCAGTCACCCCCAGGCCTTTGAGAGCCTTAGCGAGACCCATTATTTCACCCAACCTCCTATCCTCTCCCTTCCTTTAAGGTCTATGGACCCTGGCCTAGGGGGCTACAGGGGCCTTTCCTGACCCTGGCACCCATTACACTTTCTGGAACTCCCAAGTATGCTCTTGCCAATAAGGTTCTCTGCTGGCATGGCCTCCACTCTCAGGAGGAACAGAACAATGCCCCTCCAGGCTGTGCCTGTGGCAAATATCAGGAGAGCCTGGAAACAGCTGATGCATGGTGGCAGGACTGGGCCTGCCCGTTCCCAGAGGCCTCCCCAGCCAGGCCCAGTGGCCCCCATGGGAGGAGTCAGTGAAGCCTAGTGCCCAGGTTGGAGGGAAGGGGGTGATCACGTGACCTACAGACCTACAGACTCAGGTCCCTGGGTCACTGACTCGCCACCACTCATGACCATCCCTACAGACAGCCTGGACTGTGGGTAAGTGGAGGGGAACAGCTGGAATGCTCCCTGTTGCCCATCAGGACTCCTAGGGGGAGGCCAGGACCATGATCCCAGGACCTAGCACTGAGTGCAACCCACCTTGTCCCGTACAGGTTCCCTGAGAATTCGGCGTGCTCGATAAAGTCACCTGCAGCAATGTCCCGCTGCATCACCTCCCTTGTCACAAAGTAGTAATCTGGAGAGGAAAAGGGATTGTCCAAAGGGTACCCATGGCCTGGCCAGGACTCATGGGTAGTCAGGCTGGGCCTGTATGTTAACCTTCCACCCATTCCATACTCAGGGCTGCTCTGGTCAGATCTGCACTGGGCCAGGAGAGGACAGATGCCACTTCTCACACTGTCCTCATGGGGAGGGAGGAAGCACTGGAGACCTTCTGGCTTCCATGGGGGAAGGTGGAACTGGAGACTGCCAGCTTCCACAAGGGAGGTTGGGGCAGGAGGTGGGGCTGGGGACCAGTGTGCTCTATAGGAGAGGTTGGAGAACTCCCACACTAGCATCAGGTAGGCAGGAATAGGCCTATATAGCAGGACCACAGAAAATGTCTATCATGTGCTGAACAGTGCACACCAATGCTCTCAGCCACACGCTAGGGTGCAAGCCCAGGGCACAGCTGGGGAGCAGCTATGCCATAGCTGCCTTGGCTGTTGGACCAGGCCCACCTCTCAGACCTCCATCCATTTCTCTCACGTCTCCCACATGGGCCATAGCACTGGCACGTGCTACACTGCACATGACGCAATCAAGTCAGCTCGCCAGGAGGCAGAGAGGGACCTGTCTAACAGAGGTGGAGACTGAGCCATATGCACTACAGCCCACAGGCAGAGGATGTCCTCACTGTGCCTCCTGAACATCCCAGGATCCCCTGCACCCTCCCAAGACCATCTCTGTGCAGCTGCTGCCGCCAGGGCCCAACAGACCTCCAGACAAGCTCACCTTTGCCGTTCTCTTCGCCAGGCCGAGGATCCCTTGTGGTATCTAAGAAAAAGTCCTGTCACCCTCCATGGGGCAAGCAGAGTGCTCTATCCCTACCACTGTTGACCCTAAAAGGGCCAGCTCAGGCTTCAGGGGGCACCGTAGCAGGTGGCCATGTAGACCTGCAACCATTGGGGCAGGAGGGACTCAGGAGCCAAAGAGTGTAGCTAATCCCCGTCCTCAGAGGGCCACTGAGTCCCCAGTATGTTACTGAAGACACAGGCCCCCTGGGAAAAAGAAAGAAGGACCAGAGACAGTGAGCACAATGCACCACCCACCCCAGACTGTGTGTGAGGATGCAGGGTGGAGGGTTCCAAGTCCAGGAGTGGTTACAGTACTGGGGGCTGTCTCTCACCAGCCCCCCCAGACCCTCCCACCCCCTCTCCTTGTCCCATTGAGACTCACGGGACACACTGAAGCCAAAGATGCTGTCATGCTCCTGGAGCAGTTTCTTCAGCAGGGTGCTCTTCCCGGCCCCCGATGGCCCACTTAGCACCACAGGCCTGGGTCCCGACATTCCTGTGGTAAGGGCAGATGGTCAGACATCAGCGGGGCCCGAAGGACTCCTATGCTTTCTAGGTCACTGTCCTCATTAATTTAACCCAACACAAGGCTGACTTGGGACCTGAGACCCTAGGTGTACCTCCTCCTGGGCTAAGTCACCTTATAACATGCAATAGTCACAAAACAGCACTCAAACCACTTTCAACAGAAAAAGGCACATGAAAGTAGGGAAGGCCCAACGATAAGGTTCTCAGCCAGAGAGACCCTTGACTAGAACCCACTAAGGGCAGCCCCACAGGCTTCTCTGGCCTAGGATGCTGACCACTTCAGTCCACCCCACATCATGGAGGCTGTGGCCCCTAAGACCCTAGCCTGAAACCATCCACCCCACACGGGGGCCTATTTGGCTATTTGTGGTACTGCCTATTGGGCTGCTGGGTGTGGAGCAGGAGTATCCCTGTCCTTGTGTCTCTGAACCCCATGCCCCACGGACACAGCCTCATTAAGGTCCGAGTTTAAGCCAATTCCAGGAACTTCCTATCAGACTTGGGATCCCTGTCTCTGATACTCAAAACCTGAAAAGGACAGACTATCAACAGGAGGACAGGCTGCCTTCCTATCCCTCCAGGGGGGCAGTGAGCACAGTGCAGGGCTCAGATGTCTGCTGCAGGAGAGGGCACTAACAGGCCAGGAAAGAGCAGAGCCACCAAGGTCTGGGGGATCCATCCCAATGAGGACCTGAACTTTCTTCTGTTCCCTTATACTAACTCCTCTCATTTCAGTCCTGTCTCCTGCCAGCCCACGCTCCCCACCACTCTGTCTCTACTGGCTTACCCCAAGCAGGCCCTTCTTGCCCTAGAGATACGGCTTGGCAGCCCCCTCGGAGAGAGAACCCACCTGCTCTGTTGTAGGGCAGTCAGCTTGGAGAGTCAACGGCTGTTCTAGACTGAGGACTGGGGACTGGTGATGGGGGTTGTGTCCCTAATCTCTAACAGGCTTATTCTCAGTGCTTTGAGCTATAAATCCCCAGGGTGCCCAGCCCTTCATCCTAACAGAAGCCAGCCCCGCCTACTAGCTATGCAGATAGGAAAGGCCACTCTCACCCTATTCTTAAGATGGACACCTGCCCACCCAGCTCTAGTGGCTAGGAGCAGCATTCAGGATCGGGGTGAGAGGAGGGAGAGCTGATGCAAGGCAGGGGGCTGGGGGATTTAGGATGCCACTCTGTTCTGGGACCCTGAGAAGCCGGAAAACCCCGGGAGCATTTGAGGAGCTGATGAGACTCCCTGGCAACGTGAGTACTTTGGAAACCACAAGTGTGCTTCCTGCGCAGGCTCCACACCTTTCAAGCTGCAGGGGGTGTGAGGGCAGCTTGTGCTGGGAGAGGGGAGGGCCTGTACTAGCCCAGGCAGCTCTCCAGCAGGGCCCTGGGGCTGCTCTTAATCTTCAATGTAGGCCAATAGGTAATCTCATAAAAACACTTCTGCTGTGGTTCCCCTATGCACAAGCACATGCTACATGCACATAGATACATATGACATACATGTACAAACATATGAACACATACACAGCATAGAGGTGAAACACGCAGGGTGACCTAACAAAAAAGATGTAGGCAGAAGGTATCCTAGGGGAATGCACCAAATGGAATGTGTTTTATAATCTTTAAGTGATGACTTCCTTGTTTTTTTTTGCATCTATCTCATGAACACACCATTTTTTGTTTTTGTTTTTGCTATCGGGCATACGCTCTAGCTAGAGAGAGAGAGAAAGTGAGAATGCACCCCTAGTGGGTATAGCCACACTACAATCCCTTCTTCTCCACTCTCCTTGCAGGATTTTAGGGATGCACGCACACACGTCTGGCATGTTTTTCAAACTCCAGGGTCTGGGATTTGAGCCACACAGTTGGCCATGTGAAATCCAGTGCCTTTACCACTGTGCTACCAGCTGATCCTGAACACGTCATTCTAATCTAACCATGATCCTCATTAGATGCTCAACTACTTTCTGGCCCGTCAGCTCTCTCATCCACAGAACTTGCTGCCACGCTCAGCTGGGGCTCCACTTGGTTTCTGACATTCATTCAACCCTGCTCACCCCACATATCTCTTCCACCCTGGCTCCCACATTGGTCCCTAAGGGGTCTCCCTTCCTCTCTGCCGATGGCAACAGGATGCTCAGGCAAAGAGCTTCCTGAGCTCCCAACCGCCATTAGCATACATCATAGAGGCAATCAGCGCCTTCTCTACAGCTGTCTGCACTGTGGCTCTGCTGCTGGCTGTCTCAGAGCACTCAGCTTCTCATAGCCCATGAGCCATGTGACACCTCCCCTCTAGGATCTCCCATGATGAATGAGACATGTGACCTGACAAATTCGTGCAGCTCCTAGTTCCTCTACAGGTAAAACAAGCTAATGGCAGTGCTTACCTTAGAGCATGTTTAAAGACAAAGGTACAGTCCTTGGGATACAGTAAAAACAGCTGAGTTCACAGAAATTAAGGCTTAAAAATATTCAGAACCAACAGGAGTCAAAATGGAAAATGGCTGTTAGGGTTTAGACACAGACAGAACACTGTGACTTGAAGTGGTTCTTTATGTGAACCCCCACTAAAGGGGTTGCTACTTAACGTGGTCCTACCTGCACAGCACTGTCTCAAACTTCCAAAGCTGTTAGAGAAGCCTTTCACCCCAGAAAAAGATGGCTGTCAGCCGAGGAAGCCAGTAGGAAGAACACTGCTCACCCTAGTTGGGAAGGTCGAGCTATTAAGCAGAGTGCATGGACGTGCTATCAGTCTCAGTCTTGAGGGGAGTTAGAAGACTGTAGTTAAGCCCCATAGCGAAAGCCTGCAATACCTAAAAAACAGCAAAAAGTGGTTGAAGGAACACAGCAGAAACTGCATGTGCCCAGAGTTCTGAGGAACACTGACCTGTTGAGGGAGCCTATGTTTAAACTGCAGAGATTTGTTCCCAATAGAACACAGGACAGACACGCAGGGGTCAGAAGCAGGTGCCAGCATGATCAAAAATGTGACTAGAACTGGTGAGTCCCAGGAGTACAGTTTTAAGCACCTCACATACTGTCTTTCTGCTTCTATTGTAGGCTGCAGGAATAACATGAAAAATTTTTCTATAAACTGGGACCAGCAGGTGGCGTGATAGTTAAGGAGCTGGACACTCCGACATGGCTGACCATGATTCAAGTCCTGGACCTGGTGGCTTTCTTTCTCACTCACTCTCTCTGTCTTTCTCTGGTCAAATTTAAATGAATGAACAAATGAAAAATTAAATAATTCTCAAAAGAACTTCCATAAACTAGAACATATCTTTCTCTATAGACAAATCATGTTCCTCAGTCCAAAGGGTGCTTCACATTTCCACTGATAAACCAACTTAACATCAGATCTAATACACAGACTTATTTCCTCTAAAAAATCAGGGGAAAAAAAAAAATCCTTTCAACTTGTCCTGTCTAGTGGTCCAAGTACCTGAGAGCCTCCCTGTCACGCTGTCACTCCTGTTCCCATGGTGGAAGCTAAGAACCAGGCCTGCTCTTCATTCTTTTCTGCCTACCCAATGCCTAGTAGACGAGAAGAAATATCATTTTAGAGAAATAAAACTTTTTTTTTCTTTTGGAGAGGTTTTTGCTATGGGGTGCATGTGCTGGCCAGAAAGACAGAGAGAGAAAGAGAGACATAAAGTGAGAAATCACCCCCCAGGGGGGATGGCCACACCGCAATCCCTTCTCCATTCTCCTCTCAGGATCTTGGGCATGCACGCACAGATGCCCGGCATGAGTTTAAGCCACCAGGTCCAGGATTCGAACCACTATTGACTACATGAGAGTCCAGAGACATGGCCATTACACCAACTGCTGATCCCAAGAAATAAAAACTTTTTTTTTTTTTTGGAGAGGTTTTTGCTATAGGGCACGTGCGCTCACCAGACAGAGGGAGACAGAAAGACAGAGAGCGAGAAATCACCCCTCAGGGGGATGGCCAGGTCGCAATCCCTTCTCCTCCGTTCTCCTCTCGGGATCTTGGGCACACACGTGCAAGCACCCAGAGTGACTTTTAAGCAACCAGGTCCGGGACGTGAACCGCGGTTGACTACATGGGAGTCCAGGCGACATAGTCATTACGCTAACTGCTGATCCAAGAAATAAAAACCTTTTTAACAACACCAAAAAGACTCAAAGATATTATCAAAATCATGAGTGGGAATAACCAGAGTTAAGTTGCATACTTTGAAGGGCTCAACGTAGAAGAGTTACCAATGACCCCAAGTGCTGGATAAGCAAGGTCAGGCAAGACCCTGAGGGCTGGACCCTATATGGGGCTTCTGTCCCCCACTGTTCCATTAAGCCAGCCCTTCTCAATGTCATCTCCTGTTAACTCACCACCAGGTCCCATAACCAGTTGTTCTTTTCCCCCTCTCTTGTCACACTCAATCTGGCCTCTGTGAGGCCCACATTCCTCATTTCTATTCCCCTTCGTGCTGGGAACACTCCAGGGAACAGCTCCTCACCCCATCTCTAAGCATTTAATCCACCAAGCTCCAGACCCCTGGGGTTGCCCACCTGGCTTCTCCATGAAGAAGATCCAACCCTGCCCTGGGTTCTTCCATGATCCCTCTGTCCAGCAGGAACACTGCTGTCCTCTGTACAAATCTCCACCATGACATTGGCCCTGTTCTCTGTCCTTTTGCTCCATCCTGACTGCTCACTTCCAAGCCAGTCCCCAACAGGGCCTGAGCAAGCTCAAGCAGAAGAAGGCAGAACTGTGTTCATCCCCACTCTCAGAGTACCACACCAAAGGCTACCGTCACTGATCATAGCCCCCTGGTGGAAGTCAAGGCTCTTGGACTCATACTTAGGCTCTTAATCCTTTCTGTATGGCCAAGGACCAGCCTAGAGACCCCAGAGGGGGCCTCTCAAAGCTGCCAACCCATGGGGTGCTCTAGGAAGTCAGTGCCCCTGCAGGCTGTGAGACCTGGGCCCTCTGATTTTGATGGGCATGTGGGTCTTAAGAGTACCAGAGCTTAGCGGCATCAGCAGTTAGGTCATTTGGGAGACTCAGATGAGAGTCTAAAGGTACTCTGCCAAGTGTGAGCACCCATGGGAGAGATCTAGGGAGGAGGCAGCAGAGAGGGGTGCCGGGCTGAAAGCAAGACCCATCCTACCCACCTGTCTGCCTGTTGAAATCCTTAGAGTTCTTTAACAGATGCCCACATACCAGTGCCCTTCTCTGGCACATCATACCCATTTGGGCCCCATGATAACACCCTTACCAGCACCTCCAGTCTCCAATGTAAACTCACCAGTAAGATCCACCAGCTTCCTCTCCAACATCCACCTCCTACCATAGGACAATAAAAAGGTGGTCCCTAACATGGCTGCCCCAGCTAGTTCCCGCCTGTTCCACAGACCTTCTGGCTCTAAACTCTTATGGTGGTCAGAACCCAGAAGACCCATGACTACAAACCCACCCAGAATAGACAGGCCTCTGACAGTGACATGATATACTACAATGGACAGAAGTTCCAACACCTAATATTTATCCTAAGAGATAGGATGTGTGTTCAAGATGTAATGTCACTGCTACCTCCTTTCAGAATTGGGCAAGCCCATTTTCCACCCTGGCTCTTGGGAAATGAGGAGGGAGCCCACACCCTTTATTTAACTCCCAAGAACTGGAAAGCATGCACCTGATCTCAGTTCTCCAAGGCCTCTACCCACCTGTCCAGGCGATAAGCAACAGGTGCTTATGTTGGCACAGGATTGTGACAATGCTCACATAGCGCTCAGCACACAGCAGACACCCGAGGCCCATCCACCACCCCACACCACAGCCTGCTCTACCCGTTAGGGTGTCCTTCTTGAACTGTTCTCGCTTCCCCTTAAGCCCAAGCTTGCAAACTTCTACTAGTGTTGGTGCCATTGCCTGTCCTCTCTGGAGGGCTAAAGTACTGAGGTATGTGGGAGAATCCTGAGGGTGAAAAGACACCAGTGAGCCCAAGTGCCTCTGCAGTGGCTCCAGATGACTCTGGCTCGCCCAGGACTGTCTAGTTATTTCTGCTGTCTCACCTAAGCACAGGGTGCACAGGCACATGCAGCCCACCAACTGCTAAAAATTCTCCAGGGGCAATATTTTGCTCTCCCTGGATCCCCTGAGGCTGGCTCTGCCTTGGTAGGAGGGTACAAGACACAGAACACACAAGGGCACCCTGGCCAGCCCGGGGAGGGGCGGGTTCTGTGGGCAGACAGCGAGCAGCTGCAGGCCATGCCAGGGCAGCAAGGCCATGTAGCAGTACACCCATGTCCACCATTGGAGAGGTCATGGAGCTGCTTACCTAGGGAGGAGCTTCGGTAACTGACCATGTTGACAGGACAGTCACCAAAGCTATGCCCAGTGTCTCACAGAGCTGCAGCCTGAGGCCTTGCAGCTTCAGTGACCCTCAACAGGATGGAAACTGCTAAGCCTGACTTTTGCCCTAGCGCCTGATAGAAGTGACCAGTTCGTGGAGGTCAGAGTGTCTTCCTTTGGGGAAAAGGGAGTTCTCCAGGCAACTATGTTCATTCAGTATCTCCTACCCTTTCACCATGCCACAGCCCCAAACCCCAGCAGGCTGGCAAGAAACTAAAAAACCTGCAGCCATAAGGATCTGCTACAAAAGGAATTTCTACAGGAGCTCTGAGATGGAAGGTCTCTTGGAAGTCATAGGTGCAAACCCATATTCCAGAATGCTCTCTGCTGTTATGCTCCCTGAATTAGGCTCCTCATGCAGCTCCAGGCAGCTGCTTTCCTTGAGAAGCATTTCCTGCTCTGAAGGCAGACTTTCCTTGTGGCTTCTGTCCACTGTCCTAACCTGTCCCAAGAACTGGACACCATCATCTCCCTCCACTCTTCCAGAAGACACCAACACAGAATGCTAGTTCATATGCATGAGAACAGAGAAGTCAGCTTCCTCCAGAGCTCTTATGAGATGCAAACAAAAAGACACAGTGGCTCTGAGTTGGAGCTGGCTCCCACAAGGGAAAGCTGGTGGTACTCTCCCTAGGGACTGTGGCAGGAGGGCCACCCCACTTTTGGCTACAGGGGCTCTGAACATACAGCCTAGCTGTGTGATTCTCAGACCACCTAACCTCAAGAGCACCCCCCTTTTAATTGCCAGAAGGCATGTGAGCTCACAAGAGACAGAGTAAGAGAGAGAAAGCACCCCTCCCAATGGGATGTGGTCACATCACATGGTCATATCACAGTCCCTTTCCCTCCATTTCTATATCCTATTGGGATTTGGGGTATGCATGCACAAGCACTTGGTGTTCTTTTTCAAACCATTAGGGCTAGGATTTGAACTGTGGGGTCAGCTATATGGTATACAGCTCATTAACCACTAATGGGTGGTTTATGAGGACATGGGACCAGCCCCAGATACATTTTAAAAAGGACAACATGACATTGTCATTCCCACTACCTCTTCCCATACTGAGGCAAGAACATTTTGCTGCCTCCCAAGGAAGGTAGGCCCTGGCAGAAGGGAGCCAAGAACCGCACTGCATGAGGGGTCGGCCTGGCACCTTTTTGATACTACACAGCGGTGTGTCAGTCTCCTTCCATTACAGAAGGAGACAAATGGGCTGAGTCTTGCACAGGGGACCTCAATGCTAGCTCCACAATCTAAACAAGAGTTTACATGAGAAGAAAGTCCAAAACCCAAGAACTAGGCAGCAGGAAGAGTCCAGACCCTGTAGAATTGGCCAATCTTTCTCTCATGCAGAAGGAAGACAGAGGCCCAGCAAAGGCAGGGTCAGGGTGGGGCCCAGAGCTAGCCACAGAGGCACCTACCTCATATGCCATTCTCATCCCTTCTTTCCAACCCCTCCTTCCTGATTTTCTTCAAGTCATCTAACATACTTTTAGCTTCATCACATGTCCCCAAAAAGAGGAAGATGAGAGTTACACATGGCTGAAATGAAATGTACTCTGTTCATGCTTGTGACTCAGAATCTGCTACTGCTGGTATTAGTTCCAGCAAAAGACCAAGTGCTGGGCCAAAGCATTTCCAAAACCAAAACAAAAGCCAGGCATCCTCCTATGATTCCAAGTGTGGTTCCCATTAAGGTTTGAAAGCCCTAGTGTGTGTAGTTAGGAGTAAAGGGAATACAGGAGGTGCTCACCTCTGAGGACATTCTACTAGTCAGTGGCTAAAATTAGGAAACCACCCAAGTCCCAGATTCCTCCCTAATCCCATTCTTTGGAAGGTTTTCCTGGATACTTCAAAGGAAGTCATGTTTCAGGAAGTCTAAGAGTGACAAAAGTCCAAGAAAACTCACACTTAGGCAGATGTAATGCTGAAAGGCTCTTCCAGGGGACCCATAAAAGGTGAATACAGATGCAGTAGCAAGAGGTCAAGAGGGGGCCCACGGAAGCAAACCTTTCTTCTCCTCTGCCATGGATCCAACCCAAGACCAACTAATCATGCCCTCAGTTTCCCTAATGAAAGATAATCAAGTGGCATGTATCAGCTACTCCTCCCTAGGCCACCAACTGGAAGAATCAGTTCACTTCTCACTGTTTCCCCACAGACTCTTATCATTCCTAAGACGCTACTTAGGAAGTGTAGGTGGTCAGCTTCAGTAACCCTAACTGGGACTCTCTGGTCTTGAGGGAAGCTGAACTCCACATCCATGCCTAGAGGATGCCTGCACCAATCACCTTCTGCTCCCCAAGTACCCCATCTATGCTGGGCTGCTGAAGAGGCAAGAAATCCACACACAGCTCTCCAGGCAGTCCCAAAGCAGCTGGCTCCTACACCCGGGGCCCTCCGAGTTTGCAGGGTAGGATAGAGACCCAAGACTACACAGAGCCGGCCCACGAGAGAAGCTTCCCATTAGTTCCCTCTCCTAGCCCGCCATAATCACAGAAAAGACACCACACATCCCTGAATGCCCCCTAAGCTCGTCGGGACTCCCGGACGGCCATGCTCCTAGATCTCCCGGGATGATGGGCTCTGCTGTCCGCCATCTGGGAAGGGGCATCCAGCGGGTCATGTAAGAGCATCAGCGTGAGGTTGCAGGCTGAGGGGAATCACACGCTGCCTAGAGTTCCGCCTCCCCAAATGTCCTCCCGCGTTCTGATGACCGGCAAGGGCATGCGTCTGCAAAGCGTTCGAATGAGGAGGAACTACCGGAGGCGGCACTAACGGGCACGGGCTCCGCCGCCCTCTGACCTGGGTCAATCCACCGACCGGAGCCCGAGTCCGCACTCGCACTCACCGTCCGGAGGGGACCGGCCCAGGACTGCCGCTGCTAGCCCTGCCAGCAGGCGCCGCAGCATCACGGGCCGCCCGCCACCGCCCGCGGGGCCTACGTCACAGCGCCGCGCCTACTCGCCTCCACTTAAGAACGTCACAGCACTGCGACAGCCCAGCTACGTCCGCCAGGAAGTATTTCACCGCGCCACGGCGGCCCGCCTTCTCGTTTACGTCACATCGCCGGGTCCGTCCTCCGCTCGCGAGGGTACGTCAGCGCCGCACAGGCCCCGCCCACGGTGGGTTAGACCTGGGGGTCGAGAAGGGAGCTACAGCGCCTCTGGGCTAGCGCGGCTGTCCCGCCTGTTAGTTATGTGCGCTTCGTGAATCAGGGCAGCCACTATCCAACAAAATATTGGCCTGTCGGGAACGTCATGACACTTTTGCTTAGGAAAATACTCATGACGTTCCCAACAGCCTAATACATTTTTGACAGGGTATGTTGCGATCTTCCTGCCTCAGGTTCCCAGTTAGCTTAGACTGGTGGACGCCACTACACCGTATCTGTTTACGTTGTTTCTGGAACTGAAACTGGGCCTCTGTGTGATCGAAGGTATTAGGCAGAGGTGCCTTCCCACTTGCTCCACCAATGGTTGCGTCAAGACTCATTTTTCATAAATAAAGATCTAATGAGAAATAGCACAATACAGGAAATTGTCTTGATAAAACACAACATCTTTATTTCCTAGGCCAATTTCTTAAAAGAAAAAAAAAAAACCTTCATATTCTCAGACCAATACTATAAGAAAACTGCCATTTTAACAGAGAAGACCAAATTATATATTTCTTCATCGTTGTTCTATTACTGCTTAAGCTAATTACAATAAAACTTCAAAAATTAATTCATCTGTCAGCTCCGATCACACTATTGCCCTTTTTTTTTTTTTTTTGCTTTAGGACGAGTTTGCTCACGTGTGCGCTCATTCTCCATCCTGGGGTTTTGGGCACGCGCACACGCACATGCGCACACGCACACGCGCACACATGCCTGGCGGCGTGATTTTCAAGCCACTAGGTCCAGGACTTGAACTGTGGTTGCCCATGTGAAAGTCCAGCACTGTAACCACTACACCATCCACTGGCCCCATCTCCCCATTTCTTTTAACTTACCAGAGAGAACTTGCTGGAGAGAGACAGGGGAAAGTTAGAAAGCATCCTCCTCCCCGAGGGGGATGGCCACACTGCAATCCCTTCTCTCTTTCTGGGTTTCAGGCACACACATACACACATGCCTGGCGTGCTTTTTCAAGCCACTGGGTCTGGGACTCTTAACTGTGCAGTTGGCCATGTAGGATCCAGCCGCCTCAACTACCATGCCACCAGCTGGACCTGGCACCCTTTTTAAACAAAAACATGTCCTTTATAACTTTACCAAACACATCTTATTTTTCTTACATACAGAGTTGTCTTCTTTCTAGCGGTTCAATTATGTATATTACTTATATTATTAACCTTAATTTATAATGAAAATTGGCAAGCATTGTGAACTGTCTTATCTTAGCATTGTCATTTTTAAAAATACTTTTTAAAAACAGTTTTTCATGTTTGAATAGAAAATACAAACTTTTTGGGGCCAGCAGGTGGTGTGGTGGTTAAGGGTGCTGGACTCCCACATGGCCAACTGCGGTTTGAGTCCTGGACCTGGTGGCTTGCTTTCTTACTTTCTCTCTCTCTGTGTCCTTCTCTGGTCAAATGAAAAATAAATAAATAAATTTAAATAAAATAATTCTTAAGAAAATACAAACTTTGTTTTTCCTCTCTTCTCTCACAACACAGACCACTTCTGTGATCTCAAAATGTGTATAGGGGATGGGTCAGCCGGTGGCATGTTGGTGAAGATGGTTGGATCCCACATGAATGACTATGTGGTTCAAGTCCTAGACCCGGTGGCTTGAAAAACATGCTGAGCATGTGTGTGTGTGTATCTCTGTGTGTGTGTGTGTGTGTATGTGTGTGTGTGTGTGTCCGAAATTCTAAGAGAATAGAAAAAAAGGGACAGCAGCATGGCCATACCCCTGGTGGGTGCTTTCTCACTTTCACTCTCTGTGTCTCTCTAGAAAGCACATGGACTCTACAGCAAAAAATTAAAAATAAAAATGTGTATGTTTCTTCCCACCAGCAAGCAAGCAATCCATTCTTCAGCAAGTACCAGTCCTTTAACCCAGTTAAATTTTTTTAAGAATTATTTTATTGAACTTTATTTTAATTTGACCAGAGAGAGATATAGAGAAAGAGACAGAGAGAGACAGAGAGAGAGAAAGTAAACCACCAGTTCCGGGACTCAGACTGTAGCTGGCCGTGTGGGAGGCCAGCACCCTTAACCACCATACCACCTGCCAGCCACTAACCCAGTTCAATTTGACACTATCTACCTGGAGAGAGCACCAGATCCCATAGGTTGAGGGCCCAGCTCCACAAGATTACGCACTTACCTTAGACATTGGCTATAAGTTAGGGTTCACCTGAAACTTCTGACCCACTGACTGACTATAAGTTAGGGTTTCCATGCTTCCCTCATCCCCATGGGTTGAAGGTATTTTTGTCAAACCACCTTGAAAAAACTGCTAGAGCAGCTCACAGAACTTGGGGAAACACAATGACTGGTTTATTAAAAGAATATTTAAAGGGATCAGCAGATGGCGTAATGGTTATGTTGCTAGACTCCCACGTAGTCGACCACAGTTTGAGACCTGGACCTGGTGGCTTAAACCTCACGTTGGCTATGTGTGTGCGCATGCCCAAGATCCTGAGAGAAGGGAGGAGAAGGGGTTGCTCTACGGTCATCCTCCCGTGTGTGTGTGTGTGTGTGTGTGTGTGTGTGTGTGTTATTTATCACTTTTTGTCTCTCTGGCGAACACACGCACCCTATAGCAAAAATCCCTTAAAAACACACACACACATACATGACTATTTCAAAGGACACAGATGAAGAGATGCACAGGACTAAGCATGTGGAAAGGGACACAAAGCTTCTATACCCTCTTTAGGCATGTAATGCTCCGCGTGTTCAGCCATCCGGAAGCTCTCAGAACCTGTTCTTTTGATTTTTTTTTTTTTGAGAGGTTTTCGCTATAGGGCACATGCGCTCGCCAGACAGACAGAGAGAGACATATAGACAGAAAGCGAGAAATCACCCCCCAGAGGGGATGGTCACGTCTCAATCCCTTCTCCTCCATTTTCCTCTCGGGATCTTGGGCACGCACGCACACACGTCCGGCGTGAGTTTTAAGCCACCGGGTCTGGGACTCGAACCGCGGTCGACTACATGGGAGCCCTGTGACATAGCCATTACGCTAACTGCTGGTTCCCCTGTTCTTTTGATTTTTATGGAGATTTCATTGCATAGGCATGAAATGCTACATACTGGGCGGGAAACCCAGCAAGTCCTTCCAGTTAGATTCTTGACCTTACTGCAGAATCCTTCCTCCCTGGTATGGGGAAGGACACCTGTGTAATGAGGGTGTTGAGGGGGAAAATGGGATTCCACATACTTTGGGGCTAGTTTCTATGATTTTGGCTTAGGGAGAAAAAAGAACAAGTGAAAGGAGGGTAGAACTGTCTTTCACTTTTCTCTGAAACTTTTCTGAAGCTGTTTCACAAACCAAGGACAAAAGGCCAAGTACTTATGAGCCATAGGAATATATATATATATATATCGCCAGACAGACAGAGAGAGACAGAGAGACAGAAAGCGAGAAATCACCCCCCAGGGTGTATGGCCACGCCGCAATCCCTTCTCCTCCATTCTCCTCTTGGGATCTTGGGCATGCACACACACGCGCCCGGAGTGAGTTTAAGCCACCGGGTCTGGGACTCGAACCATGTTCGACTATGTGGGAGTCCAGCGACATAGCCATTACACTAACTGCTGGTCCCTATCATGATGTTTATTTAACAGACCTAAATGTATTTAGCTTCTCTATATCATATAAAAACAAGATGCCAAAGGATATAAACATAAACTGATGACTGATATTAATGTTTCTGTATTTTAACTTACGTAGAAATTATTCAGGGGGCCAGCAGGTGGTGTGGTAGTTGAGGTCCTCGACTCCCACATGGCCAACTGTGGGAGTCCTGGACCTGGAAACTTGTTTTCTCTTTCTCTCTCTGATCAAATTAAAAAATAATAATAAATAAATGAAATTAAATAACCAAAAAAAAAGGAAATTATTAAGAGCTCTTTGAGGATGGCCACACAGACCACCACTAGAAAATAATACGAACTGGGGGAACCAGCAGTTAGTGTAATGGCTATGTCGTTGGACTCCCACGTAGTCCACCGCGGTTCGCGTCCCAGAGTCGGTGGCTTAAAACCCATGCCGGGCACGTGTGCGTGTGTGCCCAAGATCCCTGGAGAAGGGATTACGGCGTGGCCATCCCCTCTGGGGGGTGATTTCTTGCTTTCTGTCTGTTTCTCTCTGTCTGTCTGGCGAGCGCACGTGCCCTATAGTGAAAAACCTCTAAAAAAAAAAATACAAACTGGGCCAGCTCCACAGGATAGTAGTTAAGGAAACCGGATCTTATATGGCCAACTGTGGTCTGATCTGGTCTGCTCTACCTATGGAAGTTAACAATAGAATATAGTCACCAATGTCAAAATCCTAATCTAAAATGGAGGTAGGAGGGCCGTGAAAGAAGTCTTCATGCTTACATTTTAAACATATCTGCGGGACCAGCAGTTAGCATAATGGCTATGTCGCTGGACTCCCATGTAGTTGACCACAGTTCGAGTCTTGGACCTGGTGGCTTAAACTCACGCCAGGTGCGTGTGCGTGCGCGCCCAAAATCCCAAGAGGAGAATGGAGAAGGGATTGTGGCGTGGCCATCCCCCCTGGGGAGTGATTTCTCACTTTCTGTCTCTCTGTCTCTCTCTGTCTTCCTGGCGATTGCAGGTGCCCTATAGCAAAAACCTCTCCAGAAATTTTTTTAATATATATATATTTGCATGTCTCTTTTGTACCTTGTTCGCACAACAAAAGAGGTTATCTTGGGAATTTTCTCTGGCAGGCAATATTTCAGATAAGACTCTTGGACAGAACATTGCCTAGCAAAAGCTACTTTCTCCCAAGAAACTAGTGCCAAACCCTGCAGTCAGTTCCTGAGACCAATAAACAATTTGTTTTAAGACAGTTTGTATACACTTTTTGTGACCCTTTGCAATTCCCAATTAAAACCTTTTGTTCTAGAGAGCCTGTCTCTCTGAGTTTCTTTATGTTGAGTAGTCAGGAAAGCCATGGCACACTTTTGCATCAAAAGACACAGAAAAATATGTCATGACTTTCCTCATAACCTAATCATTAAGTATCAAGTGTTTCAGAAGTGTGGTGGATCTCAAGCAAAATAATTTGGGAAGAAGTGGCAGTCCCTGGAATTTGTAAGGTATTGTTGTAGAGTGCCACCAAATGAACGACCACCAAAGTCAGATTAGGTTTAAAGGAAGTCTTTATTAGCTGGCCAGCGACTACAGTCAGAGGCTGGGGGGGTGGGGGTGGAGGCGAGAGTCAGAACTGTAGACCCGACTGAAGTTGAAATAGTCTTTTTATAGGTGGTCAGTGACCAGGGGTTTCTATGCAAGCAGTTACAGAAGCTGAATCAAGCAGGTTAATTATTTCTGAGGGGAATGGGGTTTCCAGGCAAGCAGTTACATTGCTAAACAAAAGGACTCCGGGCTAGTTAACAAAGACAGTAGCAGGTACAGGATGTCCGGATATGATCTTCTACATGGCTAGCACAAGCTATTTTCTCATGGGAAGAGCAAGCAGGTTTACAGAAGCAGACAGCCATGTTAGGGTAAGGGAACAAAGTGGACAAACAGCTGTTCGTGTGCAAGATCTAATATGCGGCCTTGCACAGTATCACTTAAGGAGCTTCTTTGTTCTCCCACTTTTGTGAGTGACCCTTTTACCTGAGTGAATTTTCCACTCAAGTTTCAAACTCCCTCTTTTTGGCTTGAGTTTTATGATTTTCTTTAGATTTGTTTCTTGTTTTTGTTTTCAAATAATTATTTTATCTGGGACCAGCAGGTGGCATGGTGGTTAGGGGTGCTGGACTCCCACATGGCCGATTGTGGTTCAAGTCCTGGACCTGTTAGCTTGCTTTCTCACTTTCCCTCTCTCTCTCTCTCATTCTGTCCTTCTCTGGTTAAATTTAAAATAAATAGGGACCAGCAGTTAATGTAATGGCTATGTCGCTGAACTCCCATGTACCCAACCGCGGTCCAAGTCCCAGACCTGGTGGCTTAAACTCACGCCAGGTGCATGTGCATGTCACAAGGACTGTGTGCTAGTGACAGAAAAAGACAGAGAGAGAGGGAGTGGGAAAAAGCACCCCTCCATAGGATGTGGTCATGCTGCAATCCCCTCTCCTCCATTTCTCCATCCCATTGGAATCCTGAGCATGGATACACATGCATCCTATGTCCTCCAAGTCACTGGGGCTGAGACTCAAACTGCACATTTGGTCATGTGGGGACTGGCTGCCTTTACTATCAAGCCACTGGGATCCCCACATTCTAAAGCATGCAAACAGGGTCCTCCTTCAGGGACTTTAGCTTTCTATATATGAGAGCATTAAGGCCCTTTAATGTGCATGCTTTCAAATTAATGGGTAAATTATACCAAGGACAACTTGGTACTTCAATGGTCTTTATGGAGAACATTCAAACTCTCCAAGCTTCATTTTCTTAGAATGAAACTAGAAGGTCATGGCTGTAAAATTATATAATCTGAATGGAATGCATCCTTAATTGGTACCTCAAAGCATCAAAGGGCATAGAAGCTTCAAAAATTGCCTCATACAAAATACTGTCTCAGAGCTAAGGCAAATTAAAAAAATTAAAACAGGATTTTAAAAAAGCCTTAGAAACTCAGACACGTTCCATTCTGGACCTCTCATTCACTCTCCTGCAATTCCTCCTCTAATAACTTTTCTACCTTTTCCTCTTTTTTCTCCTCTAGTTGAATTTCCTTTTTTTCCCCCACATTCCTCAACTCCAAACTCTTCCATCTCCACCCCTCCCTAATCAGGCCCTTTTAAAACCTACCACTTTAAAATAAAGCCTGTTGACCCAGCTAAGCACACGCACCCAGAGTGAGTTTTAAGTCACTGGGTCCAGGACACGAACTGTGGTTGACAACATGGGAGTCCAGCGACAGCCATTACACTAACTGCTGGTCCCTTGAATAGCCTTTAATTCTATGTGCATGATCTACCTCAAGAACTTTTTTTAAAAAGAATTATTTTACTTACCTTTATTTATTTATGTTAATTTTTTGAGAGGTTTTTGCTATAGAGCACATGTGCTCGTCAGAAAGACAGAGAGAGAAAGAGAGACAGAAAGCGAGAAATCACCCCCAGGGGGGATGGCCACACTGCAGTCCCTTCTCCTCCATTCTCCTCTCGGGATCTTGGGCACGCACACACACAAGCCCGGCATGAGTTTAAGCCACCAGGTCCGGGACTCGAAAAGCGGTCGACTACGTGGGAGTCCAGCGACATTGCCATTATGCTTACTGCTGGTCCCTATTTATGTTAATTTTGACCAGAGAGGAACAGAAAGAGAGAGGGAAAGTGAGAAAGCAAGCCACCAGGTCCGGGATTGGAAATGCAGTTGGCCATGTGGGAGTCCAGTGCCCTAAACCACCATGTCACCTGATGGCCCCAAGAACCTTTTCCATTTAAAGAACTCATTTGGAATGGAAAACTATACCCAGTTAAGATTTAATAAATTTAGCCTTGTGCCTGGCAGGTGGCATGCAGTTTAGGGTACTGGATTCCACAAAGCCAGGTTTGGAGGCCTGGATCCAACAGCTTGAGAATCACACTGGGCAGGTGTGCACACATATCCAAAATCCTGAGATGAGAGTGGAGGAGAAGGGATTATGGGGTGGCCCTTCCTGCTTCCAGGGTGAGGGGGGGGATTTCTCATTTTTTTCCTGCATCTCTTTTACTCTCTCTTTGGTGAGTGCATGTGCCCTATAGTAAAAACTAAAATAAATAAAAAATTTTAGCCTATCAATTGGCTCATATTCTCATAATCAGTTGGCTAATATGAATTTTAAAAAGTTATCAAAATCCCTAATCCCCAGATACAAAATATAGAAGCCCCCAAGTGAAATTTAAAAAACACTCCTGGCCTCTGCCATTACTGTAAAAAGCCTGGAAGAGAGACTGCTACAACCTAAAAATGACCTCACTTCAAAATCCTTGAGATATATATTACACATTCTCAACGACCAGGCTCCAAATTGCAATAGGGGCAGGCCAGCAGATATCATGGTTGGGGTAATGGACTCCCACATTGTCCACCTCAGTTTGAGCCCCAGATCTGGGGCTTGCCTTCTCATTTTCCCTCTCTCTCTGTTTCTCTATGGTCAATTTTTAAAATAAAAAAGATGATGAATAAAGTTGGATAAATTAAAAAAAAAAAGTATTACAGGGGCTTTTAGCAGTCCTTCTTCTTTACCAGCTTGGGGAAACTTCTCTTCAAATTGGGAATAAAGTTCCATGTTTCAATCAAGCCTATACAATGAAGTCTCCGTTAAAAAAACAAAAGGAGTGGTGGACAAGCAGGTGGCACGGTGGTTAAGGCGCTGGACACTTCCAAATAGCTGACCACAGTTCCAATCCTGGACCTGGTGGCTTGCTTTCTCACTTCCCCCCTTTCTCTCTCTCTGTGTCTATCTCTAGTCAAATTAAAATAAATAAAATTAAATAATTATTAAAAAAAAAAAAGGAGCGACTGGCAGATGGTGTAGTGGTCATGTCGCTGGACTACCACGTAATTAACTACAGTTGGAATCCCAGACCTGGCGGCTTGAATCTCATGGCAGGCGGGTGTGCATGCATGTCCAAAACCCTGAAAGGAGAACGGAAGAGAAGGGATTACAGGAGTGATATCTCCTTTTCTCTTTGGTGAGCACAGGCGCCCTATACCAAATAAACTTGTCTTTAAAAAAAATCGGGATCAGCAGTTAGCGTAATGGCTATGTCGCTGGACTCCTATGTGGTTACCTGCAGTTCGAGTCCCGGACCCGGTGCTTAAAACTCACGCCGGGCGCGTGGGTGCCCAAGATCCCCCAGAGGAGAATGGAGAAGGGACTGTGGCATGGCCATCCCCCCTGGGGGGTGATTTCTCGCTTTCTGTCTCTCTGTTTCTCTCTGTCTGGCTGGCGAGCGCACGCGCCCTATAGCAAAAACCTCTCCCCCTAAAAACAAATCAGTACCTCTCCGATTTCTCCCGGTAGTGATACACAACACAGCTCGGGGTCCATCCCTCCCAAAACGCCATATCTGCCAGATCAGTCCCAATTTACGACCCAGAGATGTACGTCATCACCGTCCCCGCCTCACTCACTCTTGACTCAAGCTAATCCAGCAGGAACCACCTTCACCGCCTACCCGCTCCACGCCCGGCACCCACAGAATTACTCCGCACATCCTGGCCCATCCGGAGGGTCTGGCCCACCAGGGTCTGGCCCACGTGGCTCCGCCCCACTGCGAGTAGGGTTGCTCGGAGACAGCTGGGCTCCGCCTCCGTCTCAGGAGTGTGCGTCACTGCTGCACGGGCCCCGCCCACACGGCCCATTCCGCCCCGCCCACATGGCTCCGCCCCGCTCACACGACTCCACTCTGCCCCGCCCCGCGAGGACTGAAGTCGCTTCTTCGCACCGTCCTGCTCTGGTCTACTTGTAACGCAGCGCCCAGCCAGCCTGCCAGGCCGAGCTCCGCCGCGCTAGTGCCGCCTGCTCCCCGGGGCATAGTTCCCCGCCTGCTGACCCCAATCATTTCGGCCTTTTCCGCGCCCCGCCCTGGGGACCTGCATCACCGCCTGGTCTGCTCCACCTCGCAGGACGTCAGCACTGCGCGACGTTGCCCCTGCGAATGACTTTGAGGGCGGGAGTGCCGGAACACTTGAGCGCTGAACTGGTCCGTCACCGTCAGCGTGTCCCTGTCCCTGGCCTTAGTTTTCCAGCTGGCCAGTGAAGGTTCGGACTGTTGACACTCGGGGCCCCTCCACAGAGACAGTGGTTGCTGCAGGTTGGAACCTTGTGCGGACAGGTAGCGGAACCGGCCTGGGGCCCTGAACCTGGGAGGGAGGGCGGGTCATGTGCTTGGACACTGCACTGAAAGAGCGGGACTATCATTGTAGAGGCAGCAGGACCCCTTCCTACCTGATCCCTTCCTTAGAGACAGGGAACGCCAAAGGACACCTCTGCAATTTCATCTGAGGTCTGGCTGTTGGAAACTTGGCTTTCACTGTGGACTCTTCAGCACAGAGTCCCCTGGGTATTGGAGTCATGGTGAAAGTAGCTCTGGGCTTCCATTTCTCTTGTGTCAACAAACGTAGGACTCCTCACCTTGCTGGATTTTTGTGAGAATTAGCAATGACCTTTGAAAGCAAGGAATTAGCAGAGCTCCACCGTTTATACTCCACTGCATTTGAAGCAACTTTCCTCACTTGATAACCCACCTGATTGCATAACCCAGGCCCTCCTACAGAGAGTATGACCAGAGTCTCTGGGAGTAGGGCTTGGCCATCTTCTTTAGGAAAATACCTCCCTAGACTGTTTTAATCTGAAAAGCCTGAGAGGTTATGGGGGAGGTTATGGGTGACTTAGAGATCACATGTGTGTCAAAGACATACTTAGGTTTGTGATTTTGTTTCTGGTTGAGATTTGACAATAACCAATTAGGTAGAAGAGGCTTACTTTAAAAATAAATATTCTTTGGGCCAGCTAGGTGGTTCAGTGGTTAAGGTGGCTGGATTCCACATGTCTGACTTCATGTTTGAGTCTCAGACTGGGCAACTCAGAAGGTGCGCCAGGCTAGGGTGCGTGCATGCTCAAAATCCCGAAAGAATGGAGGAGAAGGGATTGCAGAGTGGTCATCCACCTTGGGGTTTGATTTCTTCCTTTCCCTCTCTGTCTCTCTCTGGCAAGGGAACACACCCTATAACAAACTTATTTAAAAAAAAGAAAAAAAGAATCTTTTCTTTCCTTGTCTAGCAGGTCATACTCTCCAGGGCCAGTGACTGACCACTTCCACCTGAGGCTGTGAGGAAGAATGGCAGCTGTGGGCCACCTGCTTGGGTAAGCATGGACTGCCAGGCCCCTTGGGATTACTACCAGGGACCATGCTAGGAAACAAGTTGACGCCTCCAAGTTCCATTACTAATCAGCATGTGCATGTTTATTTTCAGCCTACTGCGTCCAACCACTGTGAAAGCAGCCACCGTCATGCCCTGCTGCCTGCACACATCTTCCTGGCAGGCTGACAGCACCAGAGCCTCACTCACGCGTGTGCGTCGCCAGGCCTATGCACGCCTTTACCCGGTGCTGCTGGTCAAGCAGGATGGCTCCACCATCCATGTCCGCTACAGGGAGCCACGATGCATACTGGCAGTAAGCTTCCTTCACCAGTTGTTCCCTGGTGTTTGACTGGAATTGGTCACTGTCCTACACTGCAGGAGGAGGGGGAGTGGGTTGTTGAAGGAAAGGAGGGTTTACATCCAGAACTCATTTCAAACACAAAGATTAGATAGAAAACACACACATACTCCCATCAAATTTGGAGGAAAGAAACAGGAAAAAATTCTCTTAAAGAATGAAACCATGGACCAGCAGATGGTGTAATGGTTATGTTGGTAGACTCCCATGTAGTTGACCAGGGTTCAAGCCCCAGACCCAGTGGCTTAAAACTCATGCCAGGGGATCAGCAAGTGGCATGGTGGTTAAAAGGGCTGGACTTACACATGGTTGACCGCGGTTTACGTCCCAGACCTGGTGACTTGCTTTCTCACTTTCTTTCTCTCTCTCTGGTCAAATATAATAGTAATAATAATTATAATAATAATAAATGAAAATTTAAAAAATTTATTTATTTAACCTTATTATTATTATTATTTTCCAGTTTGATCGGACAGATAGAGAGAGAGACAGAGAGAGAGAGGAAAAGTGAGAAAGCAAGCCACCAGGTTCAGGACTTGAACTGTGGTCAGCCATGTGGGAGCCCAGCACCTTTAACCACCACACCACCTGCTGGCCCCAATAAATGAAATTAAATAATTCTTTTTGTTTTTTAGAGGTTTTTGCTATAGGGCGCATATACTCGCCAGACAAAGACAGAGAGACAGAAAGCGAGAAATCACCCCCCAGGGGGGATGGCCACACCACAATTCCTTCTCCTCCATTCTCCTCTCGGGATCTTGGGCATGCACGCACACGTGCCCGGTGTGAGTTTTAAGCCACTGGGTCCGGGACGCGAACTGTGGTCGACTACATGGGAGTCCAGCAACATAGCCATTATGCTAACTGCTGGTCCCAAATATTAAATAATTCTTATAAAAATATATAGACTCGATTTTTAGTGTTTCACACATCTGGTTGAGGCTCTGTGTGCTTGTGATGCTGTGTGGAAGTCAAAGCCACACTTCCTGCATGGCCCCTCCGGCCAGCCGGGCACCTCAGATGAGAGCTGCCCCCAGGCCAGCAGCTCAGCCACTTGTAGTGGCCCCACCACCTGCAGTCTCCTGCTGCTCTCCTGCTGTTGCACCCTGACAGCCACGTCTTGTGG